AGACCTCCAGAGTCTCCTTTAACCTATTTTCTCCATGATCCTAGAACTGATGAGCTCTGAATATTTTTTCAAGTTTTCATACCAAGGTTATTGATTAGATCAGAGGCTACCAAGATCTCTGATCATGTTGATAACGTAAAGACATATTTCACTTGATGTAAATCAGCCTGAATTTCTCTAGCTTATTCTTTCACCTGATTTGACTGTTTTAGCATTCCCATGCTTCTTTGCAAGAGATTAGCATGGCATCTAGGCTATTATGCATATGGATTATTTATGTGATAAATAACTAGTTTCACTGATTACAGTGTTTAAAAATAAACCATTCCTTCATTTTCATGTAAGATTACTTCAAAGAAGTCCCTTTTATGCCTTTAAAAACTTTTATAGAAATAAGGCTCTATTTTATTTTCTATGTTTACGATCCTGATACAAATACGGTGACAATTGCATTCCATGGCATTGTTTTAGCCCTCTAGGCATACTGCCCTGTTCCTCTGTGAATTGCAGGCAGGCCTTGCTCTCTAAAGGCACACTGCCCAACCGCTTGGACTTCTGTTCCTAGGGAAATTGCATTATTTCTTTACCAATATAATCACCAAAGTTTTTTTCAATTTCAAATGGTCCTTTTTTATCCCATTTTTTCTTCTCTCTGTGTTCAGCTTCAGTTTTTAAGCTAACTCTTTTCTTCTTCTCACTAGTTTTTACATCCCTTGCCAACACTCCCAATGGTTCATCATCCACCATGATTGCTGTGCTATTCTACTTCCTCTCATGCAAACTACTTCTGTCCATAAAGCAATAAACGCTAAGTAAAAACTTTAGTGTGTTAGGACAGGATTAGGACTACTATGAGCTTTCTGATGTAAGTGCTATGCTTCTCCACCCTCTGCAGCAGCAATTTAAGGAGAATGTAAGATTAAATTGACTTTCTACCTTACTAACTTTGACCTGCTTTAGGACTGTTATTATTCACAAAGCTCAATCTGAGAGCAAAACAAATCGTCAAAGTGATAGGCCTTCTCCAAGGAGAGCAAAAGAAGTAGAGCTGGAGTTTAGTAACAGACCACCCAGACTCTTCAGTCTTACATTAGCTCGAGCTTGTTGTTCTCATTTATTTCTCAGCTGTCCAAGCACATATCTAAGTGGAAAAGGGTAACTCCATTTACAGTAGCAGCTCTTGAAGCCTGACTTTACATTCTCAGCAAATTTAATATACCAGACAAAACTGTGGACTGATGGTTTTTTACCTTGATTTTCCAGTACATATCTGCAGAATAATTCTATTGAAGATGGAAGATGCTTAATTATACATATATTTGTATAGTTTAAAGATGTGAAAAGCAAAGGAAGTTGAACAACACAATCACAAAATGTGAAACTGTGAAAAATATCCTAGTCATTGAAGCACTAAGAAAGCCTTTTTCAGTTCTGGCAACATCCTCAGGTTCTAGTTTCCCTTTATTATCTGGTGAGATCTGTACTCTGTTGGGCAATGTGCCAAGATGCCAGCAATAGCTGCAGAGCTGTCAGAGCACACACCAACATAGGTGCACACCACTGACACACACAACTTCTTGACCAGTCTGTCTACATGCTTAGGGATCCGAAGTCTTCTCCAGCATTTTATTCATGGAGTTCTCCAGTTCCCTATCTATATGCCTCTGGACTAGTTCTCCCACCCAGAGCTGTGAGAATACACACCATCCTAGGCACTGGGAACAGATGGAGAGCCAGCATGATAAATCATTAGCTTTACACTTGTCCAAAATGGTCTAAATGAGCAGCCAACTATTCCCTTTTTCTTCTTCTACTCGAACTGAGGAAATTATTCTGGCGAATAGTTTTTTCTTTTGATTTGCCTAATTTTATAAGAAAGACTTATTTCTCAACACGGACATAGACTGTAAGAACAGCATATCCAAGAAGACACTCCAGAATCTGCAATAATCCTTTAATTTCTGAATTAGGATTCTAGATCTGAATATTGCCATGAGTAGCTATTAAAAAGTTGGTAGTTTGCAAGTTACTAAGAGATTCAAAAGTTATATAACAAAGCAAGATGGGCTTTTTTTTAAGACAACCTAGCACATGCAAATGAATACCCATAGGATTCTTTTTTCTTGTCTTGAGACTAACAACGTAAAAGCTTGATTTTCTGCACACTTGAGACATGCAGTTTGTTACACTGAATGTGTATGAACTTTTCAATAAATAAAGGATTACATCAAAATTGTAAATTCAGCTCAAATACAGAGATGTTCATAAACAAAAATTCTAGTATTCTAGCTGACAGTACACTGATTAGTCAAATAATTAATTTGTTTCTGATACTAAGTACTATTAAGTGCTAAAAAAAATAAATTCCCAGCATGAGCTATAAAAAATTTGAACTCAAGGACTGCAAACCCTTGAGCTCTGCACATTTTCCCTCACAGATGATTCTATAGCAGTAGCAGTTAACTTTAATAGCTTTTGAATATTTCCTCTTTTATTATATCTTTTATTACAAAGAAGAGAACTAGTAAAATAAGTAGGCAATTATTTCCTTTTCTGGCTACCCTACAGAAATACCACAGTTTCAGGAATTCCCAACAGATTCATATTGTTCCTTATGAAAGAAAAAAGCAATTAGTAATGAAAATGTTAGTTTTAAGAAGTATCATTATGATCTTAATCTCCTAATTTCTGATATGAATAGCTCATCTTTTGAACAAAGTAAAAAGGTTCTCATAATAAAATTATAGTCTAAAAGTCACCTGTTTGAAAACAAATAGGTAAGGAACATGTACTTCAGGGTAACACTTGTAGTATGGGCAGCAATATGAAAAGAAAGAGCTTAGAATCAGTAAAACAAACAATCTCACTGAATAAAAATTCCTTTTATGGGTTGACATATGGGTTGATGCAGTATTGAGTTGGCAGAGATGCAGTTTAAAAGATGGGTACAAAATGCAATAGTTCTGGGAGTCTTCAATTACCTCAATACTTGGTACAAAAAGAAGAAATAAAGTAACATGACGATGTGGAACATAAGCTGAATTTTGGATAGTATCATACACAGATGCTTGAGTCCACAGGAAAAAATTAAATTCTTGACTTGGTCAAGCAAGGTAGTTTCACATCTGGCAGCTGAGAATCCACACTTATTGATCATTCTGTCCTTGAATCCAACATGCCCACAGAAAGCAGAGCATCTGCCAGTTAGGAGCCACATAAAAAGAGAAAATTGTAAGAAAAAATATAAAAAAAATTCCTTAAAGCTAAAGGTAAAGTATTTATAGACAGTAGGGAAACTAATTATTGGAAGTGTATGATGAATATACAGAATTAAGGCAGTGTAACAAGAAAAGGTCAAGACACAGAAAGTTGGTGAGGGCAAAGAAAGTTGCTACTAAAAAAACCCTCTATTTCTGAAAGCTGAAATCATCTTCAAGTGAAGAAAATACAATAGCGTAAATGTTGGCAGGTTTAACATAAAAAGACAAGACAACAAATATGATTTTAAAGGACAAATAGCCAAAAGTATCAAAGCAACCAACAAATATTTCTCCAAATGCATCAGGAGCAAGAATCTGCCTGGAGAGTCTGTAAAACCACTGGTGAGGATACAAAAAGGTTCACTGAAGAGAAACCAAAGGAATCCCTCATGGAAATTTTTATTATTTTATGGGAAATTCTCATGCTAAGAAATCACTGAGGGAGTCTTATCAGAGGATCTACCTGAAATTGAAGTGAATATGTAATGAAACAAACTGACAAAACATCCTGTAGAAAATTGAAGATCAGATGGTATTTGCTCAGTAGTTCTAAGAAACTAAGAAATACACAGCTTAAAAGTATAAGACATTGAATGCAATGCCAGTTTCAGGGAGATCTAGAAGACTATAGACCAGCAAGCCAGATAGTCTTACTGGGCAAATTATCAGATATGTAACACTGAACAGAATTCGTGGCCTCTAACATACACATTAACAAGTTATTTAGAAGGTTTCTGCATGGATAAGTTCTTTCTTAAATAGGAAGTCATATCAGGAAAGAAATGGTAAATTCTCCCAGCTGAAGGTGTTCACCAGTGAAGTTCTGGTGCCATGTTCCACACTGCTTAATACATATAGAATGACTTGAAACAAGAAATGAACAACAGGTCAAAGTTAGGCAACAATAAAAAGTTACAGAACACAGTAGGGCTGAAGGGCAACAACACTTGACCATTCTGTATTATCAGTGGTTTGCCATTTTCTTTGTTGTTTCTTCTTGACACAGAGGCTTGGGGCCTGACATTACCCAAGAAGAGAAGCCGAGTGCCTCAGCCTTTTCTGTGCCATTTTTGATGAACTTGCTGGCCCTTATCAGCAGCAGAGCTGTACCTTTCTTGTACTTCTACTTGCCAACATATTTGCAGAAACTCTTATGTTATTATCTCTTGCTACTTTGAGTTCCAACTGAGCTTTTGCCTTCCTAATTGCACCTCTGTACACCGAAGCAGTACCTCTATATTCGTCTTTGGAAGTTTGTCCCCTTTTGCACTGCTCCAGTGTTCTTTTTCTCATTTCAGCTCTTTTGGTAGCTTGGTGCCTTTCCAGCTGATTTCTTTTTATGTCTGCTCCTTTTCCTGCTTAGGGGGATAGACTGGTCTTTTGTACTTTAAGAAGCAGCTGCACTGGGAAATTGGGAAGTCCCTCAACATTCCTGAGCTTCTTTGCCATCCAAGACAGGTTCCCATTGGATCCTTCCTAGAAGTTCCCTGACTGAATTGAAATCTGCTTTTCTGAAGTTCAGGTCTTTATTTGATCACTTGTCCTCCTCAAGTCTTTGGCCTCTAGGATCTTACAGTCTCTGCAGCTGCTGTTGACATTTTTGTCTTCTAACAGGTCTTTATTGGTAAACATTCAGTCCAGGAGAGCACTGTTCCTAGTTGCTCCATCCACAGCCACATGAAGAAGCCATTCCCAATACATCCTGGAAATGTTCCAGATTGTTATGCACCACTGTGCTGTTTTCCTGGAGAGGTTGAATTCCCTCTTGAGAACCAGAGCCTGAGGTCTCTTGAAAGTGAAGGTTTGATCTACCTCTTCTTCCTCACCTAGGTCCACAGCAGACACCATGAGATTTCTCTCAATAGCTCTGATTTTTACTCAGAAACACTCTACTGACTTAAAAACAGATGAAAGAAGATGACTATGTAACAGGCATGCTTTTGATGGTTACTAATACATAACTTCACTGGGTCATGGAAACCTGAAAACAGGTCGCTTTTGAGTATTAAAAGACAGTATCACATATTATGGCCCTGTTCTTACTCTTTAGCCAGGATATACTTAAGGTCATCAGTGAAGACAGTTAATCTGACCAACAATGGCTAGTGAAACATATATTTATTGCCACCAAACAGATACCAGAAAACATAATGTACCAGGGTTTTCTACAGAAAAATAGATTTTCATCCTTAAAACATCTAGATTGGCAATCCAGGCAATTCATTCAATAAAACACTAAACAGATTTTGCTAATGAGTTCTCAAACAATCAATCAGAAAGATTCCAGATTTCTACTATTCATTGTAAATAAAGCAATGAATAGAACAGAATAGTTAAATATACTGAACTGGATTTGCAGTTATGCCTCTGGGAGATCAAATACAAAAGCAACACTTGCTGCACTCCAGAATTACCATGCCTCACTAAGACAATTGTGCTGCTTCCACAATTAAAGCACAAATTTCAGTTCAAAGACTACTTAGTTGCCACCAAAATGATGTCAAGGAAACTATCAGTAGACAAAAACAGAGAGAAGAATCTGTACAGGGATGCTTCTTACAGAAAGGAATATCAAATTACTGCTATGATACAATTACAAAATAAGAGAGACACAGGAGTCATTGTTACTTTCATTGATTCAGGGGAATGAAAAAAGAGGGAAGAGTGAGTAGAAATAATAAATTAATAAATTTGTTTTATGACTTCAATCAGAATATTTCATTGACAGAATTGTGAATGTCACCTGAAATTCAAGTCTTCATTACAGCAAAAAACAGTCATCAAAACTGCATCTATCCCTGTGGAACTGGGTTCCTGCTAGGAACCTTCTAGCAGAGTTGATAACAGGTCCAAGACCTGTCTCAAACAATGCATATTACTAAAGCCCCTGATTCCAAATGCAGAACAAGCAAGGAGGAGTTGCAGCTCTCTCTTTCTTTCAGGAAAAAAAAAAGGTTCATGTTGTCACAAAATTGAAAAGGAAAGGCAAAGTAAATGGAAACAAGCCATGCATGCAGAATTTCAAACTCAAAGTTTTAAGTGAACTTAATGGCAGATAGGGAATTCAAATTAATTTCCAGATGTGGTTTCTAGGCCATGGTTTAGAGCCATACTGTTCTTAAATCTGACATCTCTTCCCCCACTGAGAATCTGGACTGGGTAAAAGGAGACCCCTTTCCTCCCTCACCTGGCAGCAGCGGAATGCCACACATATTCCCTCTTCTATGACTCTGGGCACCATTTCCATGACAACAGGAGGAAAGCCAGTCCAAACTGGTCTGGGAGGGAGGGAATGAGAATCACCCTTCCAGCAAAGCCCCCTTTCATCTCCCTGAACAAGGCATTCTGAGAAACCAGGCACAAGAGTGAAGCTGATTGCACAGCCTGGGAGGGACAGAGGGCCCAGCAGCATCATGCAGCCTGAAAATACCTCTTCATGTCTGGTGAGTTGCTAAGGTTCAAGCTCATGTGATGTGGTGGATGAAGCGCCCAGTTTTGCTGATATGCAGGAGCAGATCTGGGATGGCCAGAAAGCATTTGGCTCTCCTGCCCTGCAGGAGCACACTGACTGTAAAGCAGATGGATTTCTAGTCATTCCATGTGCTGCTTCAGTTTATAGCATTCCATGCTATAAACTGAAGCAGCACAAAGGTAACCTTGTTTTTACTTCACAAATCAGAAATACCAAACCCATGGTACCAAAGTTTTAGCCAGATCTTTCAGCATCTCAGAACTGTGCATGTGTTGGGATTACTTCTCAAAGCCATATGATTTGCACAGTCAAACATCTCAAAGGCAGAAATGAGATGCGATGTGACACTTCTGAATGATCTTCACTAGCCTGAAATAATGAGAATCTGGAATTGCAATCTCTGCTTACACAACATAACTAAGAAGCAAGGTTACTCTGTCTATTTCCAGTCTCCAACCTGCTCACAAACCAGGATGTAATGCATCAGCACTAGACATATGCTCTAACCATGCATGGCAGGCACCTTTAAAGGATCACAGAAGTTTTGAGGTAAGCAGGGGCCTCTGGAGGCCACCTTGTCCAATTCACAGGGGGCCATCCTGAGCAAGCTGTCCAGAACCATGCATAGGTAGCTTTTGAATATCTCTAAGGAAGAAGAACCTTCAACCTCTCTGGGCAATCTGTTGCAGTGCTCAGTCTCCTAGTAATGGTGTGTCTCCTGGTGTTCATACAGCACCTTCCATGTTTCACTTTGTGTCCACTGGTTCTGGTCCTGTCCCTGGGCACCACTGAAAAGAATTTGACTCCCTCTTCTTTGCACCCTCTGTCCTGGTGTTTGTACATATTGATGACTTCCTTCCTCAAGCCTTTTTTACCCCAGGCTGAACAGTCTCAGCTCTCAGCCTTTCCTCAACGGAGAGATGTTCCTGTCCCTTATCATCTTAGTGGCTCTTTGCTGGACCCCCTCCAATATGTCTGTGTCTGTCTTGAACTAAGAATCCCAGAACTGGACCCAGTGCTCGAGGTGTGGCCTTACCAGTACTGAGAAGGGGAGAAAGATCACCTACCTTGACCTGCTGGCCACACTCATCCTCCAGCCAAAGACAATGGTTACTTTCTGTGCCACAAGGGCACATTTCTGTCTCATGCTCAACTTGGTGTCCACTAGGACCCCTCAGGGCCTTTTTAGGCAAAGCTACTTGTCAGCCAGGTAGCTGCCAGCATGTACTGGTGCATGGAGTTACTGGGCACAGCCCTGTCTGAAACTAACCTTACCAAGGTTACTGAGGCAAACACATCATCCCAGAAGCAGCAAAAGTTGACCAGACAGTTTTCAGGCACAGTGTACTAGGTAACTTTATTTGTGCCATCAAAATTACTCTCCATCTCAGAATACTGCTGTAGTAAAAGAGAGCTTTTCTAGAATTTTTTTTCTCCATCTAATCAGAGTGAGAGGTGTAGCTTCTTCCTAGTGTGCTAGTAATGGGTAGGATATCAAATTATATCAATATGTGAGAATATTGTTTTATTTTCTGAATTGATCATAGATGGTCCAACTTGTTTTACCTTACAAAGTTTATTCCTCTCATCTCCAGACACTCTAATTTAAACCATAACCTGTGCCATGCAAAACACGAACTTTCTCTATTCTGAGAGTTGCACTAGATACAGCCCTGAGAAGCCTCTTTGCTCAGTAAGTCTGGCTCCTTGGATTCAGACCCTTTCGAGGAGAGTACCACTGCACTGGAATACACAAGTACCAGAAACATTTGCAATGCTAAACTGTAAGAATACAAAAGCTACTTAATTTTCTGGACCTGTTCTGTTGTCTGTTCCTTGTGTATTTTACATTACCCAATCACGTGACAAGCAAACTGTGACATCAGACTGATTTAACAAGTGCTAAAAATTTATATAGCACAAATTTATTTTTTGGCTTAAAAAGGGAAAGTATATATTTAGTGTACCAAAATCAGGATTTTGAACCAAATCTCACCTCTATTGAAGCTTTTTTAATATTGTGTTACTTTCCCATCTGTAAAGGTTGAGTTCTATTTAGTAAAGACTGTTTTTTCTTATTACATGGCTGGCAAAGCGTATATTCTTTCCAGAAGCAAAGTCACTGAAATTAGAATGAACGAAATAATTTAATGGGATGCACTCTACTTCATTTCCTCAAACAAGAGACTGCATTGACCAGGAAAGACATTTCTCTGGCTCATGTCCGTTGCAAAGTAAAGCCAGAAAGAGAGAGACAGAGAGAGAGAAATACAGCATACCCTCCCTTGAATACATCCATGAAAAGTGGGCAGAGACCTTGCAACAATGTTTGGGATGTCTTTGACAGCACCATTGGAATATAAAGTGTCTCTAACCACTTTTTATGTCTTTTTTTGGAAGAGCAAAGTCCTCCTACAGTGCAATACCACTTAGAGAGGAGGACTTTGAAAATTAAAGCCTTATAAATCAGTTTCCTTCCTTTTAAGCAGCTTCACAAACACTGCAGACAGTTTCTAACTTTTGATCTTCCAGTTCATGTTTGATACAGGAGCCCTTTTGGATCCAGTACTTGCACAGGGTACAGTCTCTACAGACAATCCTAATTGAAATTTGGCAACTGGATTATTGTCAGGACTGGACAGAGGGGGACGTAACCTCCTGGAGGTAAGCCAAAGTGCATAGGTTCTGGGTTTTTTAGGATTTTACCTTCTTTTCCTGATTTTACAGAACACATCTCTCAAGACAGTGACACAGGTTTTGTACCTGCTAGTGAATTATCTGCACACCACTGCTTTGGGCATGTTGGTGCCATGCTGGACTATCATTTTCCTAGGAAGACAGGATGACAGGTGTCTCCATAGCAACTGAGTACACATGGCTCTAGATACAGTACCTCACATAAATAACTTGCAACTATGGGTTCCCTAAAAGAAAATACTCTACATTTAGAATTCCACTAAAATGGAAACTACAAAATTATTTACAGTGAAACAAGCTCAAGCTTGAGAAGCAGTCATGTGAGAAATAACACTCCAAATAATGGTTAGCATAAAAACTAAGTGAACAAAATTATAATTTCAAATATTTCTAAATGAGAAAGCTTTGGATAACTCAGACAACTGCAACCACTGAAAATGCTAACTTTCTAATGACAATGACTGTATGCAAATGATCTAATTACAAACATAAACACACAATGCCTTGTTGAAAAACAGGAAGAAACATTTTGAGCAGCTTAGGAAGAAGAAAAAATTATACTTTGAAAATATTACTATGCACATGAAATAATGAGGCCTCATAATAAATGCTGCATCTTATTTACTAAAATTTTGCTGTTTGATTCAGATGTTAATTTTGTGCTGCATTAAATGAATAGCAGATAAAGCACTCTTCCTTTAAATGTTCACATCAGCTTCAAAATTATAGTTTAATACATTTTTGAATAAATATTACAAAGCATAAAATTTAAATCTGCAAGCTGTGTTGATCTAAAATTTTAAGGAGTTCTAGTAGTGGGAATGAAAAGAGACAGGAGCAGATAATAGAGATAAGCTGCCCTACCCATGCCAACAGGACTTCCTGATGACAGAACAGATGGATACACCACCACTTTTAATTATACATAAATGGATCTGAAGAACAATTACTCCTAAGTTAAACATCTGTTTAAATATTTTCAATAATTATTGATGCATTTTATATTCCACAGATCAAGTTGATTCAACATTCTATTTCTGTAATTTCAGGACCAGCCATACTTCTGGCATACACAGTACAGAATATAGAAATCAAAAGTAAAAGTTACTCAGCTAGATAAAACTAGAGGCTTTTTTTTTTTTCTTAAGGGTGACATTTGAAAAATGTGTAATTTATCTTCTTCTGTCTGTGAAGGTCTGAAGTGTCCAGTCACACTGCAAGAATACCCTCTTGTATGTCAAACGGCAATTCATCCCACCGTAGTCAAACCCAGCACTTCAATATATTTGGAAAGAAAGAGTAGGTGAAAAAAAAAAAGGTTAAAAAAGGTAAAAAATCCTGCAGCTAAGGCTGCAAAATATGGCTGCTGCAACAGGCGAACTGTTTTGCAAGATTAGCAGCGTGCCATAAAATCCTTCTTTGTAAGAGCGCAAACCACAACATGACAGTAGATAAACTCTATTACAGTGAATTTAAGTACATGTAACCATGTAGACAGAATAAGCCAAACATCTGCCCATGTTTTTTTCTATACTTTGTTGATGTTGCTATCATCTGGACACATTATCCACATGTCCCCTGAAACCATGTATTGCCAATTTCCATCAAATGGTATTACACTTGCTGAAGAGGGCAGAACTGATGGACTACAGCTTCTCCTGCTGTTGAGCTCAGCCAACAAGCTGTTTCTGAATCCTGCTCATGTTTTGGTAAACTGAGCCAAAATTATGTTGTTTTTAAACTGATTTTTAAATTAGTTTTCAAATTATTTCTCTTTAAATACTCTTTTTCAAAGTTATATTGTGCCTTACTGGTGCATGCTTCAAAACTTCAACTAAAACCAGTATGAGGTGAATGAAAAAAATCATAATGAAAATTAATTCCTTTATACATTAAAAAAAAAAAAATACATCATGCACAAAGATATTCTGAAACAATAAGGATAGTGCTGCCAAACAGTAATGACTGGGCCTCCCATTCCCAGAAAAGCTTTCAATCTCTTCACAATGCTTGCATTTAATTTTTTTCCAAATTCCCTTTCAAATATACTGATTTTTAGATGGAAGAGTGTTTTGAGATTTTTTTAATAAACCTACTCTGCCATTCAGAAAAATCAATCATAAATGCCAAGTCCCAATGCTGACTGTCTCAAATCTGCATCTGACTTCTCCCTCTACATAACAAAATGGCTAATTTTCTTTTACAGCATTCCATGAATATTAACAATAAAAGTTTAATGGAAGGAAAGACAGCAACCCACACAAGGAGCTTGTGTAACAGCTTGGAAAATGCATCTATGTCTAAATAAGAATTTCACTGATTTTATGGACAGCTGTTTTACAAGAGCCAGTACTATTTAAAACTTAGGTTCTCTTTCCTGACTTAAAAATGTTAAAATATTACATTAGGAGGCCCATGTGCAATAAAAGCCTAATCACAAGGCATTTTAGAGATTGTCTAAACAGATATCCAGAGTCTATCTGAAGGTCACAGCCAGCCAAGCACTTTCGTTATCTGCTCTATCCTGCAGCTTATGCCACCACCACCCCTATTTGTATGACTTCCTAACCCAAGGCAGTAATTTCCAGAAACAAGTGTCTGGACACTACCTTTACATTTATTCAAGCTTATTTTCATTTTAAGGCATTATAACACAGATTCCAAAGAACTAAGAATAAGAATAGGAAAACAGTTGAGATTATTGCTGCCAGACTTTCTGAGTTGAAGCCCCTGAACACACTACAGAAAGGAGCAGTGTAATTAGATACTAACAGTGAAATAATGTAATAGATTTTAAGTATGCAAAACTGATAGCATGGAACAAACTAATAGTAGGATTCAATAATACCCAAGAACTTAAAATAAACAAACTAGCAAGTAAATCACATTTTGTCTGGAAAAAGAAAATCAGAAATATGCAAAACCCACTTTAATCTTCATGCATATATAGACAAAGCCTTATTCAGATGGATGCAGGTGCTATTTGTACATGCACTCCTGTTTAGGAGTAAATGAGTCCACTCGTACCTAATGCTGCCTTTACCACAGCCATATATGCAATTTCTAACTATTTCAATAACTCAAAAAGAACTCAGAATTTCATTATAAAATAATTTCAGACACAGAATTCCTAATGAGAAACAACAAATAGTTCAATATATAATATCAGACAAAAAAATTACACCCCTAACTCAGAGAATTCTTCAAGAACCTAGCAAGACCCCGTCATAACACATCAGTATGGAATAGCAGGAGTGAACACAGACCAAAAGTTTGGGAGAAGAAAGTGGTGCAGCACTGCTAGAATCACTGCTGTACTTGTCTACTCCCAATGCACCAATTATTCCTGGGGAAAAAAGGAAAGAGAAAATAATGACAAAGAAAACTTTCTGTTGCATAAGTGACAGGAGACAACTCTCAGAGCCAGGAGACCCAATGGAAGTAAGGCCATCCTGGAGCCTGCCAGAACAGACGCCCTCCCAACTGCTCGAGATTTCCTCAACAGTCTGAGATCAAACAGAGAAACACTTTTAAGCACATAAACACTTAACCCCAATCTGGTTTTAACATCACCTGGCTCCCAGAAACACTGGCTGCTTAGCACACTAACCAAACTTGTCAAGTTGCTTCTGGATTTTACTCCCTAGAAAAGCACAGAAGTGCAAACTCAAGTCAGGGATGTCAATATGTTTCAGGTCAGATGCTGCCAGCTTACTAGTCCGTAACCTGACCATCCAGGTAGTAACAGAAATGGCCTCAACTTGCAATGTAAGGGACTATCCTCCACTTGTGAGCCCTTGACAATGATGGGCAGCTGCTTTGACATCACCAAGTACATTTACAAGGCCAAGATGCCTTGTGTCTTTCCAGATGGCAAGGCCATAAAATATAATTTCATATACTTGAAGTAGGCTCCTGGTATTTACAGAATATTAGTTCAGGTAACATTTTCTGCAGAGAGATAAATTCACATGTGTAATGCACGTGTTCTGAAGCAATGCTATTGTGTCTGTGTGCAAGTCATCACCAACACATGAACAAACTGGCAACATTTAAAAAAAACTCTGTCATGATAGGCTACAGAAGAGAGCTTAAAGACTCAAGTGTCAAGAAGCTGTTATCACAAGAGCTTATCCATTAAAGGAAATCCTGTAACTTTTAAGAAATGGTTTCAGTAATCCAGCACACAGTGTATTGCCACTGTCCACAGGAAAAAGATGAATTTTGACCATTCCATTTGAGTGTAACCCAGTTCTGAGATGCCTACAGGGACATTGCAAAGGTGTTCTGGATCTCATTCAATATGTGACAGATCTAGCAACCCTTTTGCTTTAATCTTTCTTTGAAAATGTCTACACATTTTTACAGCACTGTTAAAATAATGGCAACTTTTTTTTCTTTAGTTGGAAGGACCAATATGTCAGCTAGATGTCTAAATAAAAATATCACCACTTTTTAACACTTTACTTTTGCTTCCTCCTTCCCCTTACCTTCCTCCCTGAAGCTGTGACTTAGTGTTAGCTCTTCAGCACAGAACTACAGCTACGAAGCAAATGAAGTTCTGACCTATTCCATCAACTGAATCAAGGAGCATGTGACTGATTTACAGCAAGTTCTCACTGTACAAAATTTACAGTATAGCTCATACTATATTAGAAATAACTTATTTATGATGTGCTGCACAGGTTCATTATGATAATTTAACATGAATTTTAAAATATACTTTAAACTACCATTAAACACAGTGAAAACAAAAGATTGTCAAACTAAAAGATACTGTGAAAATAATAATTTCTTAAAACTAATGTTGTGTGAAAGGCCACTCTTCAAAGACAGGCAACTTGTGCAAAGAGCACTGAGGGAGTATATAGATGCACATTCCAGGTAAAGTTCTTATTTAAATACAGAGCTAATTTGGACATGGCTAATTTTGATATCATTCTTCATGTAATTCAGTGTGTGTATCTACATGGGCTTCAAAACAACCACAGAAGCTTATTTAAGAGGGGCAATGGCACTTGAAAAACCCCACTTATAGGCATACTAAAAAAGTAACTTTTTTTTGTTGCAAATATTTATTAGAAACAAAGTACATAGGGTACCCAGAGCAATAATTACTTTACAGTTGAAATGTGAACAACGTAGTTATTTCCTCTATGAAAAAAAATTTAAGCAATAGTCGTAAAAACATAGACAAAAAAACTAAACAAAAAACCACAACAAAACAACAACAAACAAAACTAAAATCAAACCAAAACCATGGAATGCCAGCACATTACAAGAGCAGTAATGGGAGAATGGAGGTATAATATGACCTTCTAAAAAGTGGATGCAAGTAACTCATACGACAAAAATGACTGAGAAATCTATACACTCCATTATGCTACTGCCAAAGGAAAATTCTCCATCTCTGAAACTACAATTTCAATACTTTTAATATTTTGGTACTTGTTATGTGTAGTAGATATAATTCGCGCCATTTCTAATATGATATATGTGATATCTGTTAGAGTATACATGTTTGTATTAGGATTCCCCCCCACCCTCGCAGGCGAGACTGGGTGTATTTTAGAAACTGATTTACAAGAAGGTACGGCTCGCCAGGAGATGGGCCATGTCTGGGGAGATACAGAAACCCCAAGTGCTGATCATTCGCGTGAGCGACCCGAGATGGATATCATGGAAATACTTGGGCAGATACATGTGAATCAACGAACTCCAGACACTGAATTGTTCTTCCTTATCACCAAAAAGAAAATCTTATTAATGCATGGACTCTGAATAGAAGAAAAGACTGATTGCTGAAATCTTGGCCTCAGGCAGAATTTTCCCTATAAAAACCCCTTGTGCCAGGATGGAGGTGTGTGGGCATGGAGGAAAACCTCTTATGAGGCTGACTCCTTCTTGCACACCCAGGGCCGACCCCAGGCTCGGCTCTGTTCTTTCCTTGTGGCTGGCTAGATAGAATTTGATTGCAAAATAAATATTTTATTTTTCATATTAATTTCATATAAAATAACAGTCTCTGTTATTTGTGATGAAAAAAAAAAAAAGTACTAGAGACAGATCACTAAAAATATTTTCTCTGATTCAGCAGCCAGGAACTTCCCTCCCTAATGGCTCCAAATTTCACATGAGAACAGAGGAGCATCTCTCTCCCCAGCTAATGGCAGGGATTGGGCTGTCAGGAGCTTTTTTGAAGGACTTTACCCATGTGACTGAGTATCAATTAGGTGGGAATTACTTAAAAAGAGCCATAGCTCAGCAGTATAGAGCTGTGAATACATATTGGCTTTGAATGCCACAGAAAGACAATGTGAAGACTGATGTGGAGAAAAGCAGCACAGACCAAAGACAAAGAGGAGAACCTGCTCCTCACAGAAAGCTGTCATGGAGCCATTCCAGGCTTGACTCTCAATTTGAAATTCCACTATTGAATTTTTATCACATAAAAAGGCAACTGAGAGGGTCAACTGTGGAGCCAAAAGAAATCTAACCTGAAACCAGGGCAGGGCAGACAAGTACCACCATAACCTTAAAAAAAAAAAAAAGAAAAAAATTGCAAAACTGTTTATTGGGATTTGAAGGGTTTTGTTTGTTTGCTTAAAACGTCAGCTGTCCTTCTATTTTAATTCTTTGTCTTAATTGTCAATTACCCATCTCTTGAATTAGAAGAATGTTTTAGAATTTCTAAGGTAGTTTCCAGCAACAGCCAGACTTTTTTATTGCTTAAAGGCCATCTTGTGACACTAACGGTTTCAAGACTTAAAAAGATAAAAGCATGATTACATGGTTCATGCTAGACTGGGCTCAGCAATAAAATACTGATCCTTCTGACCATGGCCATTAACTGAAAACAAACTACAAGTGTGTAACATTTCCTCTTCACTTTTATATTGTTTTCTACATTTTAGTAAACAACACCCCTCTGACATTATTGATGATGCAGTCATTTTAATCCTCTGAGCAAGTGATTTGTATCAGGCATGCCCCTTTTGCACATTCATGAACTCTGTCAGTTAAGAAAACTTGAAAGAGTTGGAAACACAGAAAAGCAAACTTATTAGACTTCAGATTTACTACAAATTCCAGCTGGTGCAGTGGGTTCACAAAACAGAAATGAGCAACTGCACAACCTGTAGAAGAAATGCTGTTACTTATTTATAGTATGCTGGGCCATCTAGTAAGCTGGACAAGCAGTCTGCCCTTCTCCCAGCACGGCAACCAACATCATCTTCAAGCCACCATCCATGCAAATATCACAAGGAATGGGTTCCTGTGCCAGGTGAAATAGCCCTGAGTATATGGCAGAACGAGACCCGATATATACTAGAAAGCAAAGGCATCTTCTGTCCTCAGTTTCCAAATTGACTGCTTGGTACTACTCCACATGTAGATATCTTTATACAACACTTGTACAAAACTAAGAAAATTACAATAATCAGTACTAATTTATTTATTTATTACACAATCAAAATATCTTAAATACAGAGTGTGATAAGTAAGATACAGGATGTTTGTTCATCAGGAAATTAAACTCAAGGGGGTTGGGTTGTGTAAACGTCAGAGACTTACCATTGTATGTAATTACCATATATGGGAAGGAAATTTTTACAGAATAAGCAAGACTTGGAAACAATGCAAAGCAGACCTTATGACCTGCTTGCAAAACCAGATGAAGATAGGAGAGAACCAGTCCGAAGGAAGAAGGAGGACTATGAGAAGGGAGACGGAATAGAGGAAGGGTGTGAGCCGTTGGTGGAGTGCGGACTCCCCGGCTACACCCAGCGCTGTTTGCTTGCTATCGCTTGCTGTAATCAATAAATTTTAATTGGCTGAAACTTCAAGGCTGATCAAAATTATTTGCCTAACCTATGACAAATTCGTTGCCGTGACTCAGATCAGGATAACCCGGGGGATGAGCCCCTCTTGGGGAGGCGCCCTTGCCGACATTTGCGGCAAGCCCCATTTGGAAAAATCCCCTGGGCTCCTGACCAACGAACCTAAATTTGATAGCAAGCAAAGAACTGCCGGCAACCCCTTAATCTTTGTGAACGAAGTCCCGGGCGAAGACACTGGACGGTGTAAGTACTCTCCAGCAGGTTTTCGTAAAGGCCTGCTGGCATGGCTCTACTCCAGGGAGGGAGTGGGGACCGCTTGGTCAGGGTTGGGTATCCCGGAGTGCAGTGAGTAAGACGCCCATTGGGACGAGGCGAGTGCGGACCTCATAGTAGTGTGTTTCCCATTCCCGGCGACGGGCTGGGCCACAAATTGAGGCAAGCGTTGTGTGGTGTTGTGTGTGGGCACTCGGGAAGATGGGACAGAGGAAAAGCAAGCCCTCTGGTCCCATGGGTGGGGGAACTCCTGCAAAACTTCCCCAGATCCCTGAGGATAGTCCCTTATGAGTAATGATAAATAATTGGGATGCCTTCCCATCTAGAAGAGGGAAGGATAAAGTTAAGATGGTGCACTATTGTATGGAGGTTTGTGGAGGGAAACAAATTAGAGGAGACCATTTATATTGGCCTGTATTTGGATCCTTTGAAGATTGGATTTGTCAGGCTTTAAATATATATGTAAACTCTAAGGAGCCCTTTAATTTGGAAGAGAGTGAATACGCCTCCCTATGGATAGTGGGAGAGACAAGGACAAAGCTGTTTGTCCTCACCTCCAGAGATAAGAAAAAGAGGACTAAAAAGGAAGTTGAATTACCCCCATATGTCCCTCCCCCATACATTCTACCCCCGCCGCCACCACCTCCTGGCCCGAATTTATACCCTTCTTTACCCCCAAGTCCTACCAGTCCAACGGCACTAACATCTCCCCAAGACTCAGAAGGGGAAGTGCAGGAGGATGAAGAAGCTGAGAATAGGAATCGCAGAGTAACGAGAAGCCAGACTAGAAAAAAGGCTCAAGAACTAGGAATGTTCCCCCTCAGGGAACATGGGGTGGGCATGATACCAAACCCTCATGCAGGGCAGGCTGGGCAGTCAGCACAAATCATGGGGATTGGGTATGTGTCCATACCTTTGAATTCGGGAGATGTGAGAGAATTTAAGAAAGAGATGGGGCACTTACTAGAAGATCTCCTGGGGGTGGCGGAAAGATTGGACCAACTTTTAGGGCCAAACATTTACACATGGGAAGAATTCCAGTCTATTTTGGGAATTTTATTTACAGCAGAGGAAAGGAGAATGATAAGGGAAATGGGGATGAGAATCTGGGATAATGAACACCAACAGGGACCATTGGCAGACACTAAATGGTCCCTACAGAATCCCCAATGGAATAATCAAGATCCACAGCATAGGACCCCTATGGACGACCTGCGGAACGTAATCATACAGGGCATTAAGAGAGCCATCCCTAGGGGACAGAATGTGCAAAAAGCCTTTAAGGTACAACAGAAAAAGGAGGAAGATCCCACAGAATGGTTGGAAAGACTGAGAAAGGCTTTTCAATTGTATTCTGGGGTAGACCCTGACACCCCAGAGGGGGAGGCATTGTTAAAAATGCAGTTTGTAGTCAACTCATGGGTGGTTATATGAAGGAAACTAGAAAAGTTGGATGGGTGGCAAACTAGGGGATTGGAGGAACTCTTACGGGAAGCACAAAAAAGTGTACGTTAGGAGGGAGGATGAGAGTTACAAAAAGCAGGAAAGGATTATGGCCGCAGTAGTACACGACGGACTCAAGCCAACCCCTCAAGGAAGGAGGACTGGGCAGGGGGAGGCTCGAAAGAATGTCCCTCGGGACGGGGAAAGAACTCGCGGAAAGGAAATTACATGTTTCTACTGCGGAAAGAAGGGTCACATGAAGAGGGAATGTCGACAAAGGACAGTGGATGAGAAGCAGTTCCAGGAAGACTAGGGGGGTCACGGGCTCTATTTGCTGGGGACAAATGAGCGATCAGAGCCCCTGGTAAAACTGAAGGTAGGTCCCCAGCAACAAGAATACGAGTTCTTTGTGGACTCAGGGGCGGAAAGATCAACTGTCCAAACCCTTCCCCGGGGGTGTAAAATATCAGCAGAAACTGTACAGGTAGTCGGAGCCAAAGGGGAACCTTTTTGGGTACCTGTAATTAAAGATACCCTATTGGAGAGCCATTCAAAAGTAGGGGTGGGATCCCTTTTATTAGTTCCCAAGGCAGACTATAATTTATTAGGAAGAGATTTGATGGTTGAATTAGGGATAGGGATAGAAGTTAATTCGGATGGGCTAAAGGTGAAGCTGTGTCCTCTGCGAGTTGAGGATGAAACAAAAATCAATCCAGAGGTCTGGTATACTCCTGATAGTGTGGGGAAACTTAACATTGAGCCCTTTGAAGTGACCATCAAAAACCCTGAGATACCAATAAGAATAAAGCAGTATCCTATTTCCAAAGAAGGGAGGTAAGGATTAAAGCCAGAGATTGAGAGACTCCTTGAACAAGGCCTCCTCGAACCATGCATGTCCCCTTTTAACACACTCATTTGGCCGGTAAAGAAGCCAAATGGCACTTATCGGTTGGTCCACGATCTATGAGAAATAAATAAAATAACTGTAGAGAGATTCCCTGTAGTGGCAAACCCACATACTCTCTTAAGCCAGGTGGGCCCTGAGAACCAATGGTATAGTGTTATAGATCTGAAAGATGCATTCTGGGCCTGCCACCTGAAGGAAAGCTCCTGAGATTATTTTGCCTTCGAATGGAAAGACTCTGAAACACAGTGAAAACAACAGCAAAGGTGCACAGTTCTTCCCCAGGGTTTTACCAAATCTCCTAATTTATTCGGCCAAGCCTTGGAGCAAATACTTTCGGGATACACTTTGGGAGAAGGGACTGTCTTGATACAGTATGTGGATGATTTACTGATTGCAGGGAAAAAGGAGGAGCGAGTAAGGGAAGAGAGCATCAGACTCCTCAACTTTTTGGGTGTGAAGGGACTCAAGGTTTCAAAATCTAAATTGTTATTTGTTGAAGAAGAAGTCAAGTATTTGGGACACAGGCTAATAAAAGGAACCAAGAAGTTGGATGTGGAGAGAGTGCAGGGAATATTCTCTCTGCAGGCCCCCCAAAACAAAAGGCAGGTTAGGCAATTATTAGGACTTTTTGGGTACTGCTGGCAATGGATTGAAAATTCTAGCGGAATGGTTAAGTTGTCATATGAAAAGCTTGTAAAAGAAGGATTATTGAAGTGGACCCCTGAGGACGAGGAACGCCTTGGGGCCTTAAAGACCAAACTAATAAACGCTCAGGTCCTCAGCCTCCCCGACGTAAAAAGACCGTTCTATTTATTCATCAACGTCAAGGAGGGAACAGCATATGGGATATTAGCTCAGGAGTGGGCTGTAAGGAAGAAGCCAGTAGCGTATCTTTCAAAACTTTTAGACCTGGTTAGTAGAGGGTGGCCCACCTGCTAACAAATAATTGTAGCTGCAGCACTATTGGTAGGGGAGGCAGGAAAAATCACTTTTGGGGGCGAACTGTGGGTGTTATCTGTTAAGACGTTTATTGGGTATTCCACGGACGGATATAAGCGAGATCTCTGTTGGTTGCTCTTGGGGGATGAGGTTTATTCAGGATGCATTGTGGCCCTGCCTCGTGCTGTGTAGCAGCACGTGGCTGGGCCTGAGGTGATGGGGGAGGGGAGAGACAAAGAGGGGAGCAGGGACTCCCGGAGGAAGTTCCAGGAGGAGAGGGGAAGATCCAAGAGGGCGTCCGGCCCCCTGGAGACCCCTTATCAAGGGGGGCTCCAGGGTGGGCTGGAACAGGACCTGGGCCAATGGGGTCACAGGCACTTGATGGTTCAGGGGAGGGTTACAGGTGTGGGGTGAACCATACATTCTGGGGGGTGAGATGGAACAGTCCATTTGGCTTTTGGACCCCTCTGTAGGTTAGGGTTATTGCCCAGCCAGCAGGGGGCGTTATATTTGTCCTGGCTGTACTATTGTGGTTCTTAATCATATTTATCTACCCTTCCCAACATTATCCCCCCATAATATCTGAGGGTTTCTGCAACAAAAAGCCGAAAAATGGATAACCAATGCACGATTATTAAAATATGGAGGCATATTGATAGCATCTCCCAAACTAACTATTGAAACCACCAATCTGCAAAATCCTGCACAGTTTTTATATGGGGAACTGTAGAGTTGTGTTTTTTAGGTTCTATTACATTTGCATTATGTATAGGTTTGTTCCATGTACCCCCGGTTCTGTAACGGTTCCCCCCGAGTTTTCCCGTCTTTCCCCGTGGGTCTGTTGTCCCCAAAAATGCCAAGTCATTCACCTTGTTTACTCCAGATGCCTGTCTGTCACTCAGTATCCCTTCCCCCCCACCTGGAATCTTCCACCCGGGACGCCGGGCGATAGGTAGAGGACCCGGGACCCTTCACCTGTCCGTCCTTCATTGGATATACCCCCGGACCCCACTACCCTCAAACCCCCCGTGGCGTTACCCCATTGGCTGCTCCGGTTTCCCCCCGTTCCATATTTAGTCCGTGCGCACAGCCCGCTCCGTGCTTTCTCCTGGCTGACTCCAGCGTGCTCCACCCGCTCGCGCTGCTCCAGGAAACGCAGGCGCGGCACGCCTGGTTCCCTTCGAATTATTGTTTTCCCCGTTGGATTGCAATAAATGGCATTCGCCCCCCGGAGAAAGACTCTCTTCATTAAATCGCCGTGGGGTCGCTGACTGCTCTCCGAACCCCGACAGCGCTGCCCAAAGCCCGCGAGGGTTCAGTGGGAAGCACTGGAAATCTGCCAACGCCCCTTCTCCCCAGAGCTAGCCGGGGCAAGGGAAAGGCAGAGGGGAGAAGAGCGCATCGGCAGGGAACCCCTCACCGATCTAACCCATGATTGCCTCCGGCATATAGAGGAACAAACCAAAATTAGACCAGAATTGGAGGAAGAGGAACTAGACTCAGGAGCTAGAATATATATAGATGGGTCCTCCCAAGTCATTGAAGGTAAAAGATGATCTGGATATGCAGTGGTAAATGGAGAAACCTTTAAGGTAATAGAGTCTGGTCCTTTAAGCCCAAGTTGGTCGGCACAAGCTTGCGAACTGTATGCCTTATTAAAAGCACTAGAACTCCTAGGAGGAAAAACGGGTACCATATATACAGATTTAAAATATGCATATAGAGTGGTACATACCTTTGGGAAAATATGGGAAGAGAGAGGGTTAATTAACTCACAAGGAAAAGTACTAGTACATGAGGAACTAATTAGGCAGGTTTTACAAGCCCTAAGGTATCCGAAGAAAATAGCGGCGGTACATGTCCGCGGGCATCAAACCGGACTTGGGGCCTCTGTTAGGGGAAATCACTTAGCTGATCTGGAAGCAAAGCGGGCTGCCCTGTACTCCATAAAAAGTAAATCTGCCATTACACAAAGAGCAGACTGCACCACTTGCAGAAACGATTTAGAGGAAACTCCATGCTGGGCTTGCTGGAAAACTTTTGGGATTGAGGCTATTGAATGTGCCTGTAACAGCCCTGATAAAAGGCACTGTTGGTTCCATGGCCCTATTAACCACTTCATATAATTTACCCTTTAAGAAAAGGATAAAATAAATCTAATGGGGGTAAAGGAAGAGGAAGGAGGCAAATGGAGGCTGCCTGATGGGAGGGGGGTGCTCCCAAAGGGAACAGCTCTAAGAATTTTACAGGCCATCCACAACAAGACACACTGAGGTACCCAGGCCTTAGTCGATCAGTTTGCTATTAAGTATATGTGTACAGGAATATATAACTTGGCCAAGCAGGTGACACAGAGTTGTTTAACCTGCCAAAAAGTGAAATAAACAACAGCCGAGAGAAAGACCCATGGGGGGAAGGGATTTGGCACAGCGACCCTTTTCCCATGTGCAAGTGGATTTTACTGAGCTACCTAAAGTGGGAAGATATAAATATTTGTTAGTACTGGTAGACCACCTAACTCATTATGTGGAAGCTTTCCCCACTGCCCGGGCCACCTCTAATGCAGTAGTGAAGATATTACTAGAGCAAGTTATACCAAGATATGATATGATAGAAGCCTTGGACTCAGACAGGAGCCCCCACTTTACCTCTAAAATCTCAAAGGATGTATTAACCGCTCTGGGAACACAATGGAAATACCACACTCCATGGCATCCCCAGAGTTCTGGGCGAGTGGAGAGAATGAATGCCAAAATAAAGAAACAGCTAACAGAATTGATGCTGGAAACAAAGATGTCTTGGGTAAAGTCCTTACCATTAGCGTTGCTAAACATTTGCACCCAGCCTCCGACTGATGTAGGCATATCTCCTTTCAAAATGCTCTTTGGGATGCCTTATGACATGGAAGCCCCTGTAGACCATCCTTGTCTAAAGGATTCACAAATTAATTCCTACATAATCCAAATCATGAATAGAAGAAGAGAGCTCAGATAAAAAGGACTTTGATCCATAAGATCAAACTGGGAGATAAAGTCCTTATCAAATCCTGGAAAGAAGACTCTCTCACACCTCGCTGGGAGGGTCCCTTTCTCGTTTTACTCACTACAGAGACTGCAGTCCGAAAAGCGGAAAGAGGATGGACCCACGCCAGCCGAGTTAAGGGACCAATTGCTACTGCTGCTGACCAGTGGAAAGCAATCAGCCGACCCAGAAACCTGAAGGTCACTCTGAAGAAGAGTTAATGGACTCGAGTTGGGTAATTCAGGTGGAATATAAGGGACAACAGATAGGATGTACTTATCCCTTAGCTAATGATTACAGAGTAATATGTAAAGAACCTCCATGTGATTGCTACCCTTTTGTATGCTTTGCTCATAAAATTTGCCAAGAATGGTGGTGGGTCCATTGTCGCCGGGGTAGACCTCCTACGGGGATCTGCTCTGAATGCTACAAATTAGAGCAGAAAGTAACAAGAACCACACTCGAGTTAGGGGAATTGGGAAATAAATGGGTAAAGTTCGAATCAGAGGAATGGTGGGAAATATTTAGAAAAGGAATTAATCCTAACCATTATTGCTTTCATTTAAATGAACCTACCCCATTTTTGGCTCACTTGGTCGACCGGTGTTGCCGGAAGAGTGTGAAAGGAATACTGTGCACATCATCCTCAGTCAAGGATAAGAACAAGTATGAGACCCGAAAGGGGAAAAGGAGTGAAGGTACCCATCAGTACCACTGCTGCCGAGAAGACGGTAACCCCCACGGCTTGATGCACCCGAGTCAGCAGGCAAGGCAGAGGGGAAGGAACTGGGCCTCCTCCAATCCCACCTGGAATGTTGTTAAAATGCTCCAGGAATTGCTAACCGGGTATTAACGAATGTCGAAAAGAAGGCTGCTGGGAGAGCCAAGGTGCACCACGGAATAAATTGGGAACTCAGAAGCCCTATGGGCCAGGAATTAGGACCAGACTCCAACCTTACTGGCAAATTCTATGCACATTAGTTATATGTTGTGTCCGGCCTGTACAAGGGGACTATACACACCAACCGTTTAATTGGACTCTGACCAGCATCGATCAAGGGAAGATTGTTAAGTATAATGCCACCACAGGATCTCCCACTTTTCTCGTTAAAAATACCAGCCCACATGCTACTGCTGGGACTGACATTTGGGCCTTGCATATTTAACAAAATACTAGAAATAGTAAAGGGACGATTGGAAGCAGCTCACCTTGTGCTGATAAGAGCAAAATACGAAACTCTCCCAGAGGATCCTGAAATCGGAGAGACTTTGATGCTAGCTCACCAGGAGGTAAAGCGGTTTGATGAACAAAATGATAAAAAGAAAAGGGGGGATTGTGATAAGTAAGATACAGGATGTTTGTTCATCAGGAAGCGAAATTCAAGGGGGTTGGGTTGTGTAAACATCAGAGACTTACCATTGTATGTAATTATCATATATGGGAAGGAAATTTTTACAGGATAAGCAAGACTTGGAAACAATGCAAAGCAGACCCTATGACCTGCTTGCAAAACCGGCCGAAGATAGGAGAGAACCAGTCCGAAGGAAGAAGGAGGACTATAACAAGGGAGACGGAACAGAGGAAGGGTGTGAGCCGTTGGTGGAGCGCGGACTCCCCGGCTACACCCAGCGCTGTTTGCTTGCTATCGCTTGCTGTAATCAATAAATTTTAATTGGCTGAAACTTCAAGGCTGAACAAAATTATTCACCTAGCCTATGGACACAGAGTGTACACCTGCTCAGTGGTAATATTATTTAAAATAAGTTTTCTTTAAAAAAAAAAAAAAATCAGTTTTCATCACTACCAGGAAAACTGATGCCAGAACTAGGTAAAAGACCCAAAAATGTGATGACATCTGAACACTTGCTGATCACCAAACAATTTAATGTAATTGCTCAACAGTTCAAAAATATAATATTTCTCTGCCTATAGTTTTAGAAGAAATTGTCAATCAATGGTTATTGCAGTCTCAATAGATTTTTACAGAATTCCTTGGCACCCCAAGTCTTAGCTTCTCTTACAACTGCTAAAGCTGCAAAAGTCATTAGGCTTCAACATGTTGCATTCCACTGAGAATAAAATTTTTCAAGTTTATATGTATTCTCAACAGGAATTACATACAATGGTGATAATTCCTTGGAAACATGCTAAATCTGTAAGTGTTTTCTTATTGACTCCCAAGTTCTGAAGTGCTCCACTGTGCTGTGATAAAAGGAAGGACTTTTGCTGAATAAGATGGCTGTGCACACTGTAATTAGAAAATGTTAGACAGAGTGTTAAGTTGAGCCTTACTTCAACTGACTGAAACGAGAGTTGTGCTTCCGCCTACTTTTTCTTCCAGACACCTAAAACTGCGTATTTTTCTAGCACTCAACACTGACAGACATTTTTCATGTGTTCACAACTGGGAGGACAAAGTTTCTACTTTAATTTTCAAGTTAGCATTTTCAAAAACCAATTACTGGAATGAGCATTCTGAGGATGCCATACAAAGGCCTTGATCTCTGGCAGAAATGATTCATAATAGCATGAACCCCATGCTAAGGGTCTTCTGATAGGATCTCTCTTGAATCTTAAAATTAAATAGTTAAATTTGATATTAAAACTTCTAATCATCATTATCTACTAAAAGAAAGAAATAAAGAAAGAAAGCTCCCCCATAAACAATAACCTATTTCATATACAGTTTTAAATATAGGGATAGTAGCTTCCATCAAATGCATTATATACTCTGCCATATGAATAACGTGCTCAGAATCAGCATTTTAAATCTAGTCCATGCTGACATATCAAGGCTTTCCATTTTCTGTTACCTCTGCCATTCATTGCAAGTCAAAGCAATCACCTAGTTATTTAAAATAGAGATGTATGTACAGTTTGTATACACGGAAGGCTGCTTAAAACATGCAGGGAGAGTTTATCATGGTACAAAGAAGTGTGTCAATAACTTCTAATTTAGTAGGTTATTAGCATGAACTTTTACCAATGAAAGAAAGCTGGTTTATCACATCTTACAGTCACTTCAGCAACTAAAACACTAACTGTGTTTTTTTTTTTTCAGAAAAAGAAGAAAAAATAAATTATACCTTCTGCTTAAAATTATCTTAATGAAGAAATGCTTAAACTACCAAACATTAATAGTTAGCGTACAAACAACTCTTACCTGTATAATAAAATCACCAAAGTAATTCCAACTTTGCCTTGGACTTCCAAAAATCAAGAAGTACACATATGGTTGAATTAGCTCAGTTACTCAGAAACGAGTGGAGTAATGCCAAAGATAGATTTCACCCATTATCTACCTACACAGCACAAATGAATAATGCAAATCTGTATGCAAAGGACCATGAAATATCTCAGCTTAGCAGTGCATTTAAAATGTATTACTAACTTTCAGCTTCTTGAAATATTTATCAACCCCAGGAGGTTCCACTGAGACCACACTGTATTAGGAACTTCACTGAATTTTTATTTCTACACCTGACTCAGAGGACTTTGGAAAAGGAGACTGGAATTAGCTGCTGTAACAACTTCAGGTACTGCTCTGACACGACAGGCTTCACGAGCACTTCATGAGTGTTTCTAAGTCACTTTAATGTTCTTCCCACCGTTGAGATCAAGTGGGGCCTTTGTGCACCACATCTTAGGAGGGAGAGGAAGAAGGTAACCAGTTCCTGCACATGACTTAAGAAGCCACTGAAATTAAACTGTCTGCAATTAGAAAGCTACTGAAAGAATCCACAGTAAATGAGCACACTTTAAGACACCACAATCAACTGAAAAAGACCACAGAGCAAGTTAGATTGTCTTAAAATCAGTCTAGTGGTACAAACTAGCTAAAATGACTAGTTGGATAAAGCGGGAAAAAGTTTGGATCAACTGCACACAGGACTTAAAACTACTGAGCACTAGTCAAATGTTAAATTTGTTTTACAAAAATCTTTTTTGAAATAAAATTCGGTCTTGAAGTAATTACAGAAGTTATTATTGGTCTAATAGAGATGGGAACATCTGAAGAAAGATGAATACTCTAGATTATGAGAAAAAAAAAGAAAAGGAAAAACAAGCCAAACCCACACCACAAAACATCCCAACATTTAGCTTAACATTGAGTAGCTATACCATTTTGATCTAGAAAGCCTTTTGTTTCCTACTTTAACTGATAAAAAACTAACTATATCAGAAAAAAAAATCCTCCAAAGTCATGTATTTCAGTCCTTGTGGACTTTGGGAGGATAAATGTTTACTCCTTTAATTGCACAAATGCAGTAACCTAGTAAACAGTATTACTCCACATTAAGGCATTCCTGCAGTGTTCTGATTCAGGAAAAATACATAAAAACAACAAGCTCTAAACCCTCTCTTTTTTTATTGTTAGTAGAGAGTACTAGACATAAGGAAAGGTGGTTTGTTTTTACATTTTATGTATTTCATTTATTCAGACAAAACATCAAACTATTGAACTGTTACTTTAACAAGTATACAGATCTGTGCCAAAGAAGGCTGTTGGGACTTTTTCCACACAACTGACTTCCACATGAAATTCATTTATTTAATCCCTTAAACAGTCAGTCACATTTCCCTGGGACTTGGGCAGCACCAGATGAAACCAGCAAGTCATAACCATCCATTATTTTTACTATCTGTAATGAATTCCAAATTACCTGATGCATCTAAAAAAAAATCTATCTGAAAAACTCAGCAAAGTCTGAAAGGCTAAATATAATTATAAAATATGCAAATCCCGTTCTCACCTACATAAGACTATAATCTGAAAAGAGATATCTCTACAGTTGAGTATATGGTATTTTACTGAGAACATTTTCTAAGTTGAAAGTACAAAGCAACAGGTCTGCAAACTCAAAAGCATGCAAAAGAAATACATTTTTGCACAACGAAGATCGGCTGGTTGAATTACTATAACTTAGTGGAATTACTTACAGCTTTGCTTTAGACGGGTCGCACCAAGAAATAACCTCGGTCAAATCAAGTGTTGATGAATAAGAACACGAGACATTTGGGGAAAATAAGATACTGAAGGGTAATATTTACTTTCTTGCCTTTCCTGTGAACTCTAAAATGTGGCCAATTTTGCTACCTATTTACTTTTGGGTAAGAGACTTGGAGCATTTTGAAGTCGAATACCATCGGAAGAACATTCAAAAGTGACGTTTTAAGACAAGTCATAAACCTTTCCACGGAAGCTCCCATTCCATCTCACGCAAGCGATCCATCTTTCAGGTTTTACCTTTTGTCGCCCACTTGTAAATCTCCGAATCAGTTCGCTGCGCCCTGGGAAGCCTCCTCGCCGCCGAGCCGACTTTCCCTCCTTTCTGGATCGGCGGCTCAAGCACCTTTACTCTTCTTTTCGAACGCCCCTCTTCTCCTTTTAACACTTACGAAAAGAAACTCGGGGACAGCAGCGGCCGGCGGTTCCCGGGGCGGGCAGAGAGCGGGCCCGACACCCCCAGGCAGCCGCGCCGCCGTGCGCGGGGGCGGGTGGGGCCGGGCCGCGGGCAGCGGCGGCAGCTGCCGGACCCGGGGTAGCGCGGGTGGGCCGGAGGAGGCGCTCCGCGGGCACAAAGGGCTCCATGGCAACGGCGGGACGAGCCCCCCGCGGCCCCGTCACTGCCGGACCCGCCCACGCCGTCCCCGCCGCGTCGAGCGCGACGGCGGCTCGGGAAATCGGCACTCTGTGGCACCGGCCCGGGAGCCGGGCAGAGGCTGCAGCCTCTGGCCCTGGCGCTGGCCCAGACACACTTCTTCACAATTTTTTATTTTCCGCCGGAGTGTAGATCAATCTTCACAAGGAGGTGTAAGTCATTTAGGTTTTCTAATTGAGGGAAGTCGATAAGCTACTAGTGAACAAATTGGAAGGCTGGGCAATCACCAACCCTGGGAAGTTTAGCAAGGGGAAGTGCCGGATTTTGCAGCTGGGAGGGGCAATCCTGGGTCTAAGGGCAGACTGGGAAACCAGAGGCTGGAAATCAGCTCCAAGGAAAGGAACCTGGGGATCCTGGTCGATGGCAACTTGCATCTGAGCCAGCAGTGCCCTGGCAGCCAGGAGGGCCAACCCTGTCCTGGGAGGCATCAGGCACAACATCACCAGCTGGGCAAGGGACAGGATTGTCCTGCTCTGCTCTGCACTGGGGCTGCCTCACCTCAAGTGCTGGGGGCAGCTTTGGGTGACAAATTATAAAAAAGACTTTAAGCTTTTAGAGACCATTCAACGGAGAGCCATGGGGATGGTGAAAGGCTTTGAGGGGAAGCTGCATGAGGACTGTATGAGGTCACTTGGTCTGTTCAGCCTGGAGGAGACTGAGGAGACTCACTGCAGTCACAATTTCCTTGTGAGGGGAAGCAGAGAGGCAGACACTGATCCCTTCTCTGTGGTGACCAGTGGCAGGACCCAAAGGAATGACTTGAAGCTGTGTTAGAGGTTTAGATTGGATATTAGAATAAGGTTTTTCACCCAGAGGATTCTTGGGCACTGGAAGGCTCCTCAGGGAAGTGTCCACAGCAGCAAGCTTGACAGAGTTCAAGAAGTGTTCAGACAATGCTCTCAGGCACCTGGTATGGTATCTTGGGGCTGTCATGTGCAGGGTCAGGGGTTGATGTTCCTTGTAGGTCCAATCCAACTCAGATGTTCTATGATTCTTTGCATAGCATAACTTCAC